ACGATGGTGTTGTCTCGACAATTAGAAAAATAAAAAAATAGTGTGAAACTGATAACGCCAGCAAGAAGAGAGAATAACTTCTAATTTACTCATGACCATAGACACTGTTTGAAACACCTCGCACATGTAATCATATTATATAATGCATACGTAAACACAAATAAATGTTATTTTATAAAAAAATCATATAAAAAACTCAAGGATTTTAGATCCTGATGATCGTTAAACGCGTCATAACAGTGTTGTGAAAAGGGTGTAATTGTTAAAAATAGGTACAAACATCAGATATAAACAAAAACCTAAACAAACACTTCTATGTACATAACGTCATAAAAATACTTGTTTTATTTACCTCGCGCTGCCGTCCTTGTACTGCCGTGAACAGGAAAATCTGGGAATGGAGGACGGAGAGTTGAATCGATTCGTCTTCAACAAACCGATCAGTGTGACATCAAAACATCGCGAGAACAACAGACAGCTCCATGTGCATTTGAATCCATCTCGCGATATTGTATCACTTCAGGTACGCGCCTACTGATTTGTTGATTCAAACGAGTTGTGAATCAAGAAGCCTCTAAAGATCCGAATCAAACTGCAGCAGCACGCCACGAGGTTTTGCTCAGACTGTTGGGACGTTTGGAATTGCTCCGTCTTGTCACCATGTAACACATGTGAGTAAATCGTTGTCAGTAAATAAGGCTATTGTTACGATTAGAAATTGTGCATTAACCAGATTATATTTATTTTGTTTCATTTGTTTTTAGCGTAACATTAACGTTAGTTCATGGCCGAATCTAAACGGCCAGCAGCGAATATTTACCAATGTTTACTGTCGTTTACTTTGCACATCTTAGAAATGTTGCCAAAGTTCCTCTGGATTTAGTTTCTTCATGTCATTCCAGAAAGACTGGATGATGAGCAGGTCAGATCTCTGTGGCTGTTGTCATACTGACTGTGCAGACGATTTTCTCCCTTTATACGTTAATTACAGCAAAGTTAATGACAAAATTAATGTTTGGAAATGTAAATTGATATATTCTGTAGCATGCCAGTTTGATATATCAATACCCCCCCCCCCCCCCCAATTACTATTAACGTTTGCCTAGGACTTTAGCACAGTAGCCTACTATTTAAGCCTTTTCCCCTCTGCGCTTTAATTATTATCACTATAAATGATCACAATCTCCCATATGATCTGATCATAGTACTTTTGTTTGATAGTAATGTATAGTGTCTGTATGGTATCTGTAAATGTTTAGTGTGTGAAATTGTTGGACAACCACTACACACACATTAAACAGGAAAATAAACATGTCTATAGCTTACTAAAAGCCTTTCTGTCTGTTCATATATTTTATATAAATGCAGAGCAGCAAGACCCATGGGATTTCATCAGCCACTCACCATCAGAGTCCTCAGTGGAAGCTGAGAAGAGCAGAAGAGGAAGCCAAGCAAGAGATGCCAGAAAAAAAGGGGGAAGGAAATAATGTGTTATTTTGCTGTTTGAGTATAGGCAGGCGCAGTGGGTAGCACAATCGCCTCACAGCAAGAAGGTCGCTGGTTCGAGCCTCGGCTGGGTCAGTTGGCATTTCTGTGTGGAGTTTGCATGTTCTCCCCATGTTAGCGTGGGTTTCCTCCGGGTGCTCCCACAAGTCCAAAAATATGTGGTGACATTGGGTAAGGTAAAATTGTCCGTAGTGTATGTGTGTGAATGAGTATGTATGGATGTTTCCCAGTGATGGGTTGCAGCTGGGTGGCAACACGGTGGCACAGTAGGTAGTGCTGTTTCCTCACATCAAGAAGGTTTCTGCATGGAGTTCTCCCTGCGTTCGCGTGGGTTTCCTCCGGGTGCTCCGGTTTCCCTCACAGTCTAAAGACATGCGGTACAGGTGAATTGGGTAGACTAAATTGTCCGTAGTGAATGCGTGTGAGTGGGTGTGTATGGATGTTTCCCAGAGATGGGTTGCAGCTGGAAGGGCATCCACTGCGTAAAACATATGCTGGATAAGATGGTGGTTTATTCCACTGTGGCGACCCCAGATTAACAAAAGGACAAAGCCGAAGAGAAAATGAATGAGTATAGGCAATGATAGACAAGACAATGTTTGATTAATATGAAGTCTTTTAAAATGCTTATTTATTAAAATAAAGGTTACAAAGTAAAGAAGAAATATATTGTGTGTTTGTATATTTATTTCACTGCCTTGAAGATTTTACATTGTAAACTAAAGGGAACAAGGGGGGAACAAATGTTGTATTTACCCTTTAACTACAGGTAACAAGAGAGAAACAAAGCTTCACTTTAATTTACAACCCTCAAATGTGGTATTTACCCTGTAAGTACAGGTAACAAGGAGGTAACAAGAGAGGAACAAAGCTTCACTTTAATGTACAACCCTCAAATGTGGTATTTACCCTGTAAGTACAGGTAACAAGGAGGTAACAAGAGAGGAACAAAGCTTCACTTTAATTTACAACCCTCAAATGTGGTATTTACCCTGTAAGTACAGGTAACAAGGAGGTAACAAGAGAGGAACAAAGCTTCACTTTAATTTACAACCCTCAAATGTGGTATTTACCCTGTAAGTACAGGTAACAAGGAGGTAACAAGGGAGGAACAAAGTTTCACTTTAATTTACAACCCTCAAATGTGGTATTTACCCTGTAAGTACAGGGAACAAGGAGGGAACAAATACTGTATTTACCCTTTAACTACAGGGAACAAAGAGGGAAGAAGCTGAACTTTAACATACTAGTGTATACTTGAACACTAAGAACAGAGTAAACTACAGCAGCAGTTTTTATTAATTAAAGACCAAATTACTAGATTTTTCTATAAAGCATCAGCTATACATTTACTGAAATGCAACAGTTAGCCCCCCTGTGCAACAGCAGTAAAGATGCGAGCCTGTTTTAATCTGCTTTGAACCCTGACGGTAGGCCTATGTCATGCAAAGTTATTTGTTGATAGTGAGTTATGGAGACATTGATGGCTTTGGTGAGATCGACGAGTAAACATAAGGTAAGTAGTGTATGGAAATATATTTTATATTAAATTGCAGATTTAAAATACATACAGTATACAATAAGGGTTCATAATTTCACAGGTTGTAAACCTTTTATTCATTAAACACCCCATATAAAACCCAAGCACTGAATAAGAGTACTAATGTACTCACGCAGGTGCATATACAGTACATTCGCAGATAGCAATAGGTTGTCACCATCCTTGCATAATTCTTTATATGTATACAATACTTGAAGAAATGTACATCGTAAACTTAATATACTTCTTTGCGTGATGGATATCTTATTGTTACTCCCCTTTTACGCAAACATTATGGTTTGTTCATTTGCAATTTAAAGAAAAGTACACCGTTATTTCACTGTACTTACGCGGTACCTTTTATGCTAAATATCTGGTTGTTACCCCCTTATTACCCGAGCATTACAGTTTGTTCCCTTATACTTACGTAAACGTTATTTATACTTACACTATAGGTACAGAAAAGTACACCGTTATTTCACTGTACTTACGCGGTAATTTTCGTGATGAACATCTGGTTGTTACCCCCTTTTTACCCAAGCATTACGGTTTGTTCCCTCATACCTACACATACGTTCATTATACTTACACAGTACGTACAGAAAAGTACACTGTAATTTCACTGTACTTACGCGGTACTTTGCGGGTTGTAAAAGAAAGCGTTACCACAAACTTCACTGGGCTGGATGGTCAGGAACAGGACTGGAAACATGACAAGACAAGACAAGACAAGACAAGACAAGACAAGGGTTCAAACAACAAGTGATGACGAACTGGCACAGGACAGCAAAAGTGAGGGGTATATAAACTGTAGAAAATTAACACACAAACAGGTGAACACAATTAACTAATAATGGGTTAACAAGGAGGGTGGGACAAGACAATAGAGCGCATGACACAGAGAGACAATACAAGCCATGCGCTCACATAACACAACAAGAACATGCAGCCAATGAGAGAACTCATTAACCGCATGTTCATGACAACAAACACAACACTGAAGCACACGACAAAAGCACGTGACCACAATGTAAACACCGAGCCACGTGCTTTGACAAGAGACGCAAGACACGAGCACATGATAGATAAACACCTTACCGTGCGCTCACACATAAGCAACGCACATGCTTCATCTCAGCGCCAACCAAAACTGAAACCAACTAGACGGAGGCGCCGAGAATAAAGCAGCGAGCTGCTGACAGAACAAACACAAACACTAGTACAAGAGCGCGCGTCTGAGGGACGCAGAGCATGCGCGGCCACATCAAGTGGCAGCGCGCACACTCTGCGTACACCCACGACGGCGCGCGCGCGCACACAGAGAAAGAAACAGAACCAGACATGGAGTAGTGTCAGAGCTCTGCCACCAAAACAAGAATTTACAAGACCAAAGTGGCAGAACCCTGACACAAGGTAGGCCTACTGGGCAAAAAAGGGATGCCTTTCAGGCAATTTTAGAAGCTGTCATTCATTCATTCTCACCATATAAATGAATGACAGCTTGGTCTTGGTCTCTTGTTTATCCTCATAGCATCCAGGTGGAATAAAATAATGGCACCTGAACTCTTCAATTACACAATACAGTTTACGAATAAAAGATTTCCCTAGAACTTAACTTTTCTCCTTGACAGTGTCAGGCACATATAGGAATTTTGAGTAGACGAAATTCCTCAAGATAAGAAGGAATTTTCCAGTCGATTAATTTGGGGGAAAAAATGGTCTGAGGTGAACAGTAAAAATTTTGATAATTCTAGGGTTATGCTATTTCACATTCGCTGTTCATAATGTACACTGTGTATCATACCCAAGTTTAACAAAAAAAAAAAGATTTCAATCTGTGCAGTAATGGCACCAAAACCAAGATGATGTATTTGACTTGTTATGTGATTGTTTGGCATGCAGATAATCCAGTCTTTTGTATCTGCTGTCATGTGCTTTACAGTATGCAGCTGCTGATTTCAAAAGTGAAAGTCAGAGTTAGTCTGCTGCTCAAATGCTTACAGGAGGAGGAAGAACAGGAAAGAAAAAGCAAAGATATCTAAGTAAAATCCTTAACTCAATCTAGACCAATAGGCATTAAAGTTGTGTATTAAAAATAAGCTACAATATTGGAAGTTTTTGCTTGCAAGCAACTCATCTCGAAGCTAGACGGATAACTTAAGCAAAAGGGTAAGAAATATACATTCTTTCAGTGTATTACTACATTTTGTACTGCTCTTTAAAATGGAGAGTCCAATATCTAGTGTTTGCTGTTAACCTCAGTTTATCTATAGATTATTATATGTGTAATGCAAGTATTTTCTGGGGCTTTTCTTCTCAACGTGTTTATGTGTGTTGAGAAACTCTTTCACACACACAATCAGCTGTGAAGTTATAAAGGAAATGCTCATGATCTTGGTAATTTGTGACTGCTGACTGCAGTGGCATTACTGAGGTGTTTGACTTCTGGCACACTGCAGCTCCTCAGATCTCTTCAGTTACGTGTGTTTATGGGTTGAACAGCTCCAGTGTTTTCAGTAAGCATGGACAAACCAGTGTGCCTGATCAACACAGACTCAGATGGGAAGCTGTGTGTGCAGCCGGCGGCACTGCAGGTCTTGCAGCAGATCCAGCAGCCGGTGGTGGTGGTGGCCGTGGTGGGTCTCTACCGCACCGGGAAGTCCTACCTGATGAACCACCTGGCTGGGAAACAAACAGGTTAGACATACACAAACAGCGTCCACATGTCAAGCAGATCAAAGCTACCTGTAAGCCATTGTGTGAGTTTCTGACATGTGTTATCCTTTAGGATTTGCTCTGGGCGGCACTATTGAATCCAAGACAAAGGGCATCTGGATGTGGTGTGTGCCCCATCCCACTAAAACAGGAACCACTCTCGTGCTGCTGGACACTGAGGGACTCGGAGATGTGGAAAAGGTAAAGTAACCCCTGAATTACTACTATCTAAGAACAGTATTGGAGCAGTTAGTACCAGAACCCAGCATGAGTTAAGAACAAATAGATGTATAATAGTCAAGTAGTTTAATAATAATAGTCTAGTTGTATCCAGTTGGTTTGATAAAAACTGTATTATAAATTTACAAATGACACAAGACATTTATTGCATCCTATTCCCAATTGTGTCACTAACCCCTCATTCTTCTTAGTAAAAAAACAACAAGATCTAAAATATAGAGATTTTATTGGTAAATAGAATATGTGACTTTATTTTTAGTGAATTTGGATTTCATTTGAATTATTTTGGTTTTTAAAATTAACTTCTGCTGCATTAGTTTTAGGTGGTAATTATTCAGATTCTTATTGTGAAGCAACATTTTAAGCTTGCTAAACATTATGTAAGCACATTAAGTAGTTTCAAGAGTTCACACTTAGCTGATTATTGATAAGTAAATGCATGTTTGGCATGCTGTTATAGGAGAGAGCACCAAGCTTTTAAGATTTTTGAGCCCAGGGCTCCCACCTGTTTCATCAGGTGAGGGGAGTCTAAGCTCAGGAAGGTCTTGAGAACTCCCCTGTATTATGCTAGGGAAGAGGAAAAGAAATTAGAGTGTACAGGGGGATTCTTCGAGATGAAGACGGCTAAGGTAAGGAAAATTCAGCTGTTTATGTGTGTTTGGATTCATCTGATTGGTAAATTATGTGATAGCTAATGCGGGACCAGCTGTGGTCAATCATAAGCCAGTTATCCTCTCAAGATTATTTTATAAATAAACTTCACTCAGCGTTAAGGAACATTTTATCAAAAATACTCAAATGTTTAAATTTATTTTATTTATTTATACTTTTTGAATGTTTACAGTTAACTAAAGGCTTTTGTGTAAGCTCTAACATTAGATTCCCAGGTGATATTTTATTTGGCACAGTACTTGTTTAAATGTACATAGCAGTACTTTCAACCTTTTTGTGTGTTTATAGCTTAAGGCAGAGGTGTCAAACTCAGTTCCTGAAGGGACACAGCTATGCATAGTTCAGCTTTAACCCTAATTGAACACAGCTAACCAAATTAATTGATCACTTCCGGAGTTGGCCCAGTGCTGGTCTGGATAAGTAAAAAAAGATTTTGAACTATCTGGGCCAAAAGTTTTTGCTGTCTGGCCAGCTGAGATGGCAAAGGTACACACACATACTTTACCCAAGTAGAAGTACAGATACTCATGTTTAAAACGACTCTGATAAAAGTTAAAGTACTGACTAGACTTTTGTACTCAAGTAAAAGTATATGAATATGGCCTGAAAACATGTATGTATATATATATATATATATATATATATATATATATATATATATATATATATATATATATATATATATATAAGTACCCATTACTACTACAAGTTTTAGTTTCACTAGGTAAATATCAGTAAAAAGACATGGGGAATAGATCTTAAATAAAATTCAAATTCTACAGATTTATTGTATGGGTGAATAGATAAACTAAATTGGCCTAGTGTATTAGTGTGTGTAAATGTGAGAGTGTTACATCCTATTGATTTATTAATATGAACTAAATTGTCATGATCTAATCATGATTGCACCACTAAACACATGAAAATGAAAGTTACGAACGTGGTTTAAAATTGTAGTGAGTGGAAAGCACAGATATGTGTAAAAATGTAAGGAGTAAAAGTAAAACGTTGTCAAAAAACAAATGGTGGGGTAAAGTACTGATACCTGAAAAATCTACTGAAGTACAGTAACAAAGTATTTGTACTTCGTTACTTCTAATCTCTGCTGGCCATATGACCCACATTAATTTTGCCTCTGTATTTCCAGCTCAGTAATTTTAGTCCGGTCTGGATCTATATTAATGGTGTGAAACAGATGTGTCGATTTGAAAATGGATCCAGCGAGGAGTCAGATGCTGTCAGGGTGTTGTGGTGTGAAGAATTTTACTGCAATTAATGTTAAAGTTAATAAGTAAAGTAAAAAAAAAAATGCTATAGAGTATTTCCAGATTATTCTATGTTCAAGAATTTGCTTCTCTTTCTCAGGGTGACTCGAAGCATGACACCAACATCTTCTGTCTGGCTGTGCTCCTGAGCAGCACTTTGGTTTACAACAGCAGTGGAACGATCGACAACAGGGCCATAGAGGAGCTCCAGTATCCTTCTTAACACATGTCTACACAAGGAAACACAAATACAACACTACTTTGTAGTTTACTTTTAGTCTTTTTTTTTTTTTGTTACATTTTTATTTTCCTATGTGAGTAAAGGTTATTATGAGGAAACACATTGTCTTTACATTTACTTTCTTTACTGAAAATTTCAGATGTAAAAAGTATTTTATGAGCTGTAGCTTTAGTTACTGGGGGTGTGACGAGATCTTGGGCTACAAGATCTCATGAGACTAAATCACGACGAGATATCTTGTCGAGGTGAACAGTTGTCTTGTGAGTTGTGATGTTATGATGAAGAGTGAGAGTGAAATTAGCATTGAAGATTTGAGGCAGATTTGGATTTTAACTGCACATCAAGGCCCCGTTTACACTAGTGCATTTTTGTTTTAAAACGGCGTTTTGGAATGAAAACGATCCTTGTCCACACTAGCTTTTCACCTAGCGTTTCTGAACAGCTCTTCGTCTACACCAAAACGCACATCATGTGATCACACATACACTCTCTGGCAAGCGCTGCAGCCTGTCTACCCAGATGAGAGCTCTGCTAGTTGGAGTGTTCATCAAGGATCTCCTGCTGGATCTAATCTCACTATATTTGCTAAACGTGATATTTAATTCATCTTGTTGTCTATATCCAACAACATATTCCCCGACTTTGGTCTTTTGAATCTATTAGGATACTTGTTCTCAGGTAACGTGTTTTGGCTGATCGCAGAGATAAATTAATAATTAATCCAAGCACGTACACTGTGTATATTGAGTAATTGCTTGCCTTTATTTCCTATAATGTATAAACTTATTGTATGTTATACTTTTGTAATGGCCATTATTGATTATTAAAACTGATATTCAGAAAAAGAGAGGGTATGTTTTGTATTTTTAATGAAAATGAAAGGAGGCAGCAATGTTAGGCTTCGTTTTGTTATAAATATCCACACAGTGAAGATGACGCTCATAGATGCTGCACAACGCCCCCACATTTCTGCTGTCTTTTAAGTTGTTAATATCAAAATGAAAACAGCAGTTCCTTCATGTTTTTATTTTATTGTTTAGAAACAATGTAGCCAGGATGATGTGAATGAGGTGATAAAGTACAGTGTTCCCGTTGAAAATGTACCTGACATGTTCTTGGGAGTCTGTTTTCCATATCAAACTTGCAAAGTCTGAACTTACAAGGAGAGGATGCAGAACTTTAACTGTGTGTAGGCTACTTAATATTGAGCAAAAGCCCCAATCATACAGGCGGATGTCGGCAGCCCCGCCTCCGTTTTCAGATGTCTCCGTTTCCACCATCCACACTAAGACGGAGCTGCACCTTTTTCGGATAAAAACGGCCTCTTCAGCATTTTTAAAACGCTCCATTTTCGGCGCTCGAAAACTCCGGCGTAGTGTGGACGGATGGCGTAACCGTAGCAAAACGTATGCGTTTTCAAACTAAAATGCATTAGTTTAAACGGGGCCCAAGTGCTTTGCACACAGCTGGCAATCAGGGCTGCCTCAGTGTTGCGCATCACTCGTTTGCTTGGGTGAGTGTGACAAAAACACTTTTTTCATGGGAGTTCAAAAGTTGCTGCATCCAAATAGCACGTTAGATATGCTTATCTCATAAGCAAGTCAAAATCGTCGTGAATACAATTTGAACTGAGACATGTGGGGTATTCCTATTTTAGTGGCAATATTGCTGTGCAGTACCGACATGTAAACGCCATAATCAAACTATTGTTGTCATGTAGGACTTTTAGGCGCATTTTGCGACGATAAACCATACACACATGGCTGTTTGACATTATTCTCTGCACCTACTGAGTCAGTAAAGGACCACATACACACACATCTCTAAGCGCACACACATAGGTAACTCCTGGAGACTGTCTCTACTCTCTGAGGCGCCATGTATTATATTATATTAAAACATTACATCCAGATGCACAATGAATAGGTTCTTTTTTCTTTTCTTTTTAAGTTTTCAGGTTCTGCAGATTGCAATGTCCCAAATTTTCATTGCCAGACTTAAGCCAATTGTAATCGTTTGTTTTTTGGTGCAATTTGGAATTTCCCCAACCAATCACAGAGCCTGGGGGACCAGAGTGAGTAGGTTCTTATTGACATATTACTTTGCATGATGACATAATTGCATAATCGCAACTCAAACCAACATCTTTATGTAGTATACAAAACAATTACTGTTTTCTCAAATTGACTGGCCATCTCAGCAAAAACATTATTTGAAATATGTCCATTTAGATTTGTATGAAAACGTAGAGTTGATTATTCGTAAAAGTAATACAAACACTTTTTGATAAGAATTTTTTAGTTTTAAATATAACTGATAATAAACAGTTACATTTTTTTAACAATTGCAGCTTGTGTACTTACTTTTTATAAGTTGTGAAATTAACAAGTTTGTGAAAGTGAAAACAATTATAGCACTAATGGAATTTATTGCTACCTAAATTACCAACACTTATACATGTTAACAAACATCAGTAAATTAACAGTTATGAAAAACAATCTGAGCTAGCAATTTACTCTAGTGACTGAAGCCTGCAGCCACTGCTCTTTTGAGTCACTTTTTAAAAATTGCTAAAAGTAGCCAAATTAATGTTAAAAATTGCTAAATTTGTTGCTAGGTGCTTTTTGAAAAAAATAAAAAAGTTGCTAGGATAGTATGAAAAGTTGCTAAATCTAGCAACAAAATTGCTAAGTTTGGAACATTGAGCCTCTTTCTTGACAGGATATTTGCTCCCACATTCTGGTGCCCAGAATATTAACTGCCCTGACTGAGAGCAGTTACTCCTGGCCCCACAAGATAATCTGATGTGCCATCTTACAAAGTAGTCAAGATTTCAGATGTGTGGGGAATAGGAAAAACAACAAATTCTTCCAAATGGTTTGGCCAGCTTACAATTGATTTTCATATTTAGAATCACCAATAAAATTTAACTGTCTCTTAAATTTTATTTACATTTAAATTAAAAAAAGATAACTATTTTTTTCAGTTTGCCCAAGATACTGTGCATGCACACTTGAAGAGAATGAGATCACAATACGGCTGATAGTTTTTCTGGAATTCTTACTTTTCTTTCTGGAAAATTAGACGTTGTATTGACCATTACATGTTTTCCTCATTCAACACTATATGAGTGACACAACATCTTTAGTTGAGGGCAGCCCTAATGAATGCTTATCGAGTGGTTGGACAGTCACTTTATGTTTCTACCTGAACAATCTGCCAGATATGTTACTGAACTAACAGAGTGCATCAAGGTCAAATCGTCAGATGAAGATGTTGATGATTCCACTGAGTTTGTAAAATTCTTTCCTAGTTTCATCTGGTCTGTGAGGGACTTCACCCTCGAGCGAAAGATTGATGGCAAAGATGCCACAGAGGATGAATATCTAGAGTTTGCTCTGAAGCTGAAACCTGGTAATATACTGCTGAATCTCATGAGCTCTTACAACTTTGTTAACAGATCAACATTACTCTGATACCACATACTGGATAAGACTGTAGCTGCCAAATTTTGAATGTACTGTTTAAATTTGTATACAAAATAAAGAAGCCAAAAACACATCTATTGAAAACTTCAATAAGTCATGTGTTCACACAAAACAATATAACATGAAAATGTAGCCAGTGGGAAAAAAATCAACTTATACTGCACAAAACAAAGAAAAACAACAAAACAGAGAGATAAACACCAATCATCTGCTACTGCATATAGTATAGAATGCAGCTTTGCAGTATTTAGAAACAAAAAACAACAACTCTTGATTGGGTTTTTGGATGTGTGGTTGAATGTCAAAACAAAATATTAGAAAAGTTTTGGCTTTTTTCGAAACACCAGTGCAGAGCCGTTTAATAGTTCAGTGGTTAGAAGTATTAAGCTGGCAAATAAGGAAAAATATCAAATTTATTTTAGCAGTAACAGCAAATTATAAGGCTACAGCTTTTTAGACACATTGTTTTTCTTAGTAGGCTTGGCCTAATTTTGTTAAAGTAATAAATGTTGGACAAAGCGTAATAACACATTGGCACAGCACATAACCCTTGGTTTGCCTTCACTTTTAAACTGCTCTGAAGCACACTTGTACATATACAATTTGCTTCCCGTTAAATTCTGCTATGCAGCCGTTTTAAGTTTTTTAAATGAATTAATTAACATTTTAAAGACAGTCGGTCTGCAATGTCAGTTGCAGTGTTATAAATGAAAAATAGCATGCTTGACTATTTGCAGCAGATCAACCTCATATGGACTGCCGGTAAATGTATGATGTTATTTAGGCTACGCTACTATTTGCTCAAGCAAAATTAAACCCAGGGGCTTCTATAAAACTTAACTTAGAAACCATCCTAAAAATAAACATATGCTGAATTACTTAAAATGGCACATGCAAACAAAAATTGAGATTTATAAAACTTCTGCATGCATTTTCAGCTTTATTCTACTGTGAAAAAAAACAAACAACGAAAATCTAAATATGTAGATTTTAGTTTGTTCTGAAAAAAAGAGGCAATTTTCTTGTTTCTGCTTAATTTCATTTTGAAAAATAAATGATCAAAACATACACAGACCCTCATTATTCTTTAGAACTGATAAAACTCTTGTGTTTATCTGTTCTAGGCACTTCGAAAAAAATAACAAGCTTCAACCTTCCCAGGGAGTGCATTCAAAAATTCTTTCCCACCAGGACATGCTTCACTTTCCCATTTCCAACAGCTCCAGAGAAAATGTCCACTCTGGAGAGCTTGAGTCCTGCTGACCTTTCCACTGAGTTCCTGGAGGTCACCAAACGTTTCTGTAAGTTTGTCTTTGACAAGAGCGAAGTGAAGCGATTGAAAGATGGACACACGGTCACTGGCAGAGGTGATTTTAAAGGGAATTTGAAGAGTTTGCCTGTTTACAGTGATCTCTTGTTCAGTGCCTTTTCCATATCATTGTTCTTGATTTCTTTTCTTCTTTGAAAGTTCTGGGTAATCTAACAAAGATGTACGTGAACACAATCTCCAGTGGGGCTGTGCCTTGTCTGGAGAACGCAGTGATTGCCATGGCCCAGATTGAGAATGTGGCCGCAACGCAGGAGGGTCTGGAGGTGTACCAGAGAGGAATGGAGAAGGTTAAGTGCTCCTTCCCCCTGGAGCTGGAGCAAGTCTCCTCAGAGCACCAACGCCTCAGCAGCAAGGCTACGCAAGCCTTCATGGCTCGATCATTCAAGGACACTGATGGGAAGCACCTGAAGGTTCTTGAGGTAGGCTAGATCTTAACCAAACAATATGCCCTGGCTCACCAACAAACTAGTCTTGCATAGACTGACCTTTGGCTGCTTTGAATGGTCAAGGAATGATCCTTGTTTTATAAAAGCGGAAATGGTTTTGTTGTCATTTTGAGTTAAAAGTAATTATAAAAGGCCCTATAGTAAATAGTTTTCTCACTTTTAATTGTATAATAGTATCACAATATTTGAAGGTTTTTCCTCTCGTGAATTTACACAAGAAAAGCAGGCAAACAGTAAATTTAAGATCTGAAAAAGGTACACAGCAGCCTCTGGTGGATTCGTGAAAACAAAAACTGCAAAAAAACATACCTCCTGGGACGTATTTCATGTTAGCCAGAAATGTATACAGCGGTACACATCAATAAGGAGCCTGGGTTGGCGTATTTGCAGGATTTATGCAGTGAACCTTGCATACTTTCAATAACCCATTGATTAGTTAAATTATTAAATCCTCATCATCACCAAAGTTATGCTCACAACAACAAGTAATGGATTAATGAGTGTTGTTTCATGGTGTGTCCTTTAATCTGAATCTTGATTTTTTACTCTCAGGTTAGGCCTAATTCATAGTCATTTCAAATTACCTACAACTTAATCAGAGGTCTATTTTGTAGTGTGTTCCTGCTGAAAGTCTTAAAACTCTATAAATTGAAGCTTTGCTAGGCAGTATTTGTAATAAATTCATTTTTTTATTGCAACACTGTGAAATACTAATAAAAATTGAAAGGTAAAAACACTCAACAATTGAATAACAAAATACTTTCATCAGTATGCTCAGATTAGGAATGCTTTAAGGTCAGGGCTATCAGTGTTTGTCTCATTTTTGCCCTGCCTTTGTAGGAGGCAGTGGTTTAAAAGAATATGATACAATTCCGTCTGTAAAATGTAGCTCCTTGTTCATCTGAAAACACTGCACCAAAGATTGCTGACAGTAAAATCCTCCACTACTGAGTGCAATCTGGCCATAATGTAACTAATGGCTAGGCCCACACAGAATCTGCGCGCGCATAATTCCGCAGATTTCTAGCTTTATATATAACCATTATTAATTCTGTTTATTTACTTGAGTAAATGTGTAAATCTGAATTTATTCAGTAATTTATTACTTTTTATTTCATATATTAAGGTTTAAGTTATGATACTCCGCTGGATACTCCCAAAATAATTACGCAGAAATCTGCAGATTTTTACCAAAATTCTCCACAGAAATAGCAAAAAACGTCCGCAGATTCCGTCTGGCCCTGCTGATGGCTCCCTGGCCATTGTGAAGGAGGAGACGGAAAAGCGACAAAAATCTAATGCTTTTATTCATTCATTCATTTTCCTTATTCCATTTTTTTTCAGGGGTCGCCACAGTGAAATGAACCAGTGGATTTGATTAAATAAGTAAACATAAATTAAACAGGCAGCAGTGGTTCACTTAACTGAAAGCAAAACAAACATAAGCTACAGGCCTAGTTCTCTCTCTGGTTCCACTGCCGTACAGCATTCAAATCTTCCATAATGTTGGTTCGTCCAACAATCCAACTCCTAAAAATACTGTATATTTAAACCAATCAGAGGACAACTTCAAATCTGCTGAAGTGTGCCATATGCGTTAAGACTGTCAGATGTTTGGCCACTGTACTGTGCTAAAATAACAAAAATATTGTTTGTGTGTATTTAGGGGAAAATCAATAAGCTCTTTAATGAATATCTGTGTCAAAATGAGCAAGCTTCAGTGAAGAAATGTGAGGATCTCCTGCTGTCACTTTCAGCTACAATGACTGAAAAACACAAGCAAGGTTTCTATGCTAAACCTGGTGGCTATGATGTCTTCTGCAAAGATCTGGAGGACATTGTGAAGACGTACAAAAGCCAGGCTAAAAATGAAGTCCAGGTCTGTCCATATTATGCAGCATCAGGATTATTTATCATCTTTTCTCCTTATTATAGACTTTTGCGATGTGGGTGTTTATTAATTAAAGGTTTGGTTATACTAACGCTGTAACAGTGAGTCATTACTAGCTAAATATAACGCTTTACTTGAATGGGGGCTTTATAAGACATAAAACCTTTTTAGTCATGATAGTGTATGACACATTTCATGAAGGTAAATGAGATCTTATGCATGATTATGACAACTGTTATTACATTTTATTTGCTCAGTTATGGCATTTTAGATGCAAAGATGACTTTGTTCATGACAACTTGTTATGACACAAACAAATACAAAACAACCGGTTTTTGTCATTGTCATAACAACTTTTTGTTACCAAGATCACACAACTTGTCATAAATATAACATAACTATGAATATGATGAGGCCCTATTAAATGTCATGAATGTTATATTAACATCATTTATATGTTTTATTTTCTTTTACAGCTGTACAAGCTGAATTTTTCATTAAAATGAAATTAAATATTAAATACACTGTTAAAATGTCATAACAGAGCAAATGACATTTAATAACAGTTGTCATAAGCATGCATAAAATCTCATGCACATTATTTAGTCTTATTTATATAAAGGTTTTATGACAGTATTATGAACAGCACTTCAATTAAAGTTCAACAAACATTTAAGTGTATTTGATTTTTGTGTTTGCTTGTCATTTAAAAAGGCTCATTAATGGTCCATCTAAAATGTCTTTACCTGTAAGGATGTGCACAGTTTGTGTGAGTTAGTTAAGGGGTGGTGTTTGGATTAGAAAGCAGATGTTTTGTGTGTGTCAACAGGCTGAAATGGTCTTAGACAAGTTTCTGAAGCAGAAATCAGTGGATTCTAAAGCCATTCTGCAGGCTGACAAAAAACTGACTGAGAAGGAGAAAAAGATTAAAGGTGAGAGTTTTAACCTTTTCAAATCTTACATTTACCTTTTCTTAAAGGATCAGTTAACCACCAGCATGAACATGGCCTGATCAATTACTCAGACCTAGTGATGGCAGATTCACAAATGAATCCTTCTTTATAACCAGATCCAAACCTGATCAAACACAACAAAATCCACTAAGTAGGACATGAAGGAGCACTTGGTAATTAATGACAGGTGTGTTTGATTAAAATTGCAGCTGAACTCTGCAGGAAGGTAGATCTCCTGGAACAAGGTTGAGCATCTCTGTCCTAAGTGAACCAGTTCACCAAATCGAACTGAATCACTTGAAATGGTTTGCATTTCCAGTAAGCACAAATGACTTACTTTAAAACATGCCTGATACCCCTTCTGACTCCTTGAAATAAACCAATATTTCTAGCTATTCAGTTACTAGAACAGTACACTGAGTGATCAGCTGTGAAAAGAGAACTGATGATGATGATGATGACTGTGAGCTGAACATCAGATCTGCCCATGCCAACTACTAGAGTGGCTCTCACTGCAGTCAAGAATTACTCTGGTGCTTCTCTAATCTCATTTTTGGTACAATCAGTTGGAGCCAGGTCAGATAAACAGAACAGAATCAAAATCTGGTTTCATTTAGATGTGTCCGATTTGAGAATTGATGAGCTGATGATAACGCACATGCTAGTAAATTTTCATCTTTTAGCAAGTTAATAAACCTAAAGAGATGTGTTCTATATTTCTCAAAAGTATTTTTAGCATATCCTTTAACAAAAATGTAAAATACAAAATGTCTCTTGTGCTTCTCCAAGTACCATAACAATAATATTGTACCAAATACACATGATTTCTGAAATATTTGTAAATTTTTCTTTTAAAAAATAGCTTAAAGTTTTTTGAAAAGCATTACATTAAAGTTTATGCAGTCATGCTTTTAAATTAATTATCATTAATACTAGCAACAATAATGGTTTGTGAAGTTAAACATTATTTTTCATAAATAATCTAATATATTTTCAAGAATATTTAACCTAACACAGAAAAACAATGCTAAATATTAATCATTTAGACCACTGCACTGTAATGGATATCACTCAAATCTTGTTTTCAGGTAGAATCAGATACCGTTGCTTACAGATCAGCAGTACTAAATCAGGAACGTTTTTTTATTTTATTTTTTTCCAGATGAGATGTATAATACTGTGCATGTGTGATTCAACTGGTGTAGAATCAGTACCTTACTGCCTGACACCACAGCAGCATCTGAATCAAACTTCACTGATTTTGTGTTAATGATCTGCGAGCGCTGGCAAACCAAGCGCTTAAATGAGGGATTAAGCAAAATATACATTTATTTCATAAAATAACAATCAAAATGGAAATAAATAGTAATGGATCATGGCCTAGCATAAAGGGTTTCATGCTGCCTTTGTGTTGCAAAATTTAACTTTAAGAATCTTTTCAGATTATTATATTCTAACTTACTGAAATTATGATTGATGACTATTTATTGAGACCTAGCCTGGTACAACTGTCATTATGTCATTTTTTCATTCAAATAAACTGCCCAAAATATTTTCCTTAAAGTAAAACAGTCTGTTATTACCATATATTTTTGTCCTCCACTTTATGTCAATGGCCAGAGGAAATGGAGAAAGCAGTTCTGCTGCAACAGGAAATCAAAGCTAAAGAGGAGACACAACGGCAACTGATGGAGAAGATGGAGGCAGAGAAAAAGAGTAATGAAGAGCGGATAAAGCAGATGAAGGAGAAGATGGAGGAGGAGATGAAGCAGCAGCGGGAGGAGGCACAGCGTGCCCTGGACAGCAAACTAAGGGAGCAGGCGGCTCTGCTGGACAAGGGCTTTCAGGAGAAGGCAGACATGATGAGCAAGGAGATGAAGGAGTTCAAGAGACAGGCGTCAGAAGCTGAGAGTAACAGAGCTAGAGAGTTTAGAGAGCTGCTAGAAAACTCCAACAGGAGACACGAGAAGTCGATGGCTATGATGATGCAGCAGCACAGAGAGCAGATGCAGCAATTACAGAATATGCAGAACAGTTCTTCAGGGCTTCTTTGCCCCCTTCTTTTGCTCCTTGCTGCAGGGTCAGGTGGCAAAGGTAAACGATGTTGTTGTTGAGGTTCAGTCAGTTGTAATGCTACACAAATACACAAAAACTGCACCTATACAGGTGTCTAGAGATGGGCTTTAAGGTTGCTTAAGTCATGACCATCATACTAATCATTACCAGTTTGTAAATGTAAAAGAACTGTCAAGTGTCAGGCCAGTAAAGCATGCAGTGCCTCAAGGATCAGTTTTAGGCTCTTTGCTATTTTTATTGTAATCCAAACATAAAATTAAATTACAGATTGTTGGACTTCAAAGGGTCCAGAGCATGTTCAAAAATGGGTTTGGAGTCAATCTGTTAAAAATTATAAGTTTTATTTGCTCAAGCAGGACAGAAACCAAAAGTAACACTGCGCATGAGAGGTTAAACTCTAAACTCTCTTTCAGAGATGTTTCCTTTTTATACCACAGTACTCTATCATCCTTGTCTTCTGTGCATCTTCTCTTGACGGTTGACCTCTAAGGCAGATGTCACCTTAGTTTTGCAGTACTTCTTCATTCTGGGCACGCGATTTGCTGTTCTTTGCAATACTACTTCTCTATTTCTGTGCAGTTTCACAATAATCAACACTTTATAGGTTGATTGCTAAAGCCCTTTCATGTGTAATGGGGCGATCCCCAAAGGGGAGGGGTTTCCCACTCGTATGCGTGTAGTGGGGGATCCCCAAGGGGGAGGGGTTTCCTCACTATGCTTAGGTGAATGGAGTTAGAAATTAAGCTCGCCACCCCTTTAAAAGTGTGGAGGTTTTGCTTCCGTTATCTCCCTGGCATGGAATAGTGGCAGTGTGTTGAGTGCGTGCAAACTTTTGATGTGCGTTAAGCATTGAGCGTTGAGCAGTAAGCCTGCAGTGTTTAGAAAAACCTGTAATTCTGTGTCTTTGGCCTGCGGAAGTGCAATCGCATCAGCAAGTAACGGTATGTCTCTGTTTATGTCTCTGGCTATTTCTGGCGAGTTTTAGAGCTGTTAATTAATAATAAATAATTCTTTTAGCTACATCCATGTATGATTGGTGGATTGCTCACCATTTGCGTTAAGAGCCAGTTGACTGGGCTGCGGGTAAGTTTCTATTTGAGAGTCTGTAAATGTTTTATCTAGAAACATGATTTTAAAACGTTAACATGCGAATGAATATTGACTGGTTGTTTTATAGAGAGCCCGTTGCTGTTTTGCTGCTGTCTGGCGACCCGTTTGTGCTACGGAGGGGCGATTTCACTTTCCTTCTCGGCACCTGATTGTGTGTGACTCGGTTGCGTCAAGGCAGTGTGTGTGTGTGTGTGTGTGTGTGTGTGTGTAGGATTGTGTGTGTGTGGGTGTGAGCGCGCCCTTATTGTGCGAGGGTGCGCTAAATTCTTTCGACGTTGGCGCGGTTGTGAGTGTGCGTGTATGTGTGCAGTGTTGTGATTTAACTATTTGGTGGGTTTGTATTTTGTTTGTGTAAATTGCTAAGGGCTGTTATTGTTCAACCTACATTTCAATACTAACAGTAAGGATTACCTTATATGGGGAGGGTTGTGTTATTTTGGCTTTGTTTGTTATGCGGGTGGTTTGTTTTGAGTGCGGGTTAGTTTCTCTTTATTAATGAGTGTTTTGTTTTGAAGGTTTCGTTGCACTGGAGTGTGGCATTTTCCTCTTTTTCCTTTTGATCTTTCCCAATGGTATATCCTGTGTAATATTGAGTGTGAGAGCAGTGGCCACTGACAACCATTATACAAACCATTGTATTGTTTTGTGACTTATTGTAATTGATTATCTGTTTTATATGATTACATTTTAAAGAAAACTCTTTAAGTGTCTAATAAAAGATTGTTTGTACACATCTCTGCTTTATTTCCATTTGTTTGGAGAAAACCTGAAGTTGTGGGTAGTAAAGTGAACCTCTATTTGGTTATATTCAGTACAGTACGGGCCCCGGCCACATTTGGCGTAGTCGGCAGGGTTCCTTTACAAGCAGGGGTGTGTACTCAATCCTTGGGCACTTTGTGTGTTTGTTGAGACCTTTTTTTATTATTTCGTTTCATTTTGTTGTTTATTGTGAATGCTTTTGTGTGAGTGTGGTTGTTTTACAGCAGCAAAACAGCACCGGGCAGTGATTTAAAGGAAGCCTTCCAAGACTCACCGCTGTTCAGGTTATTAGTGAGTATTTGTTTTGTTTTCTGTATTTTTTTTTTTTTGTTTTGTTTTTTTTCTTTACCTTAATGATGGAGAGTGAGTTGGATGAGCTGCGCAGGCAGGTTCAGTCCCTGCAATCGGAGAATGAACAGTTACAGCATCAAGCTAACTCTGCAGCCAGGCCTTCGGTGAGTGCTAGTTCTGTTGTTGATACCAATGCCCATGCCTCTGGTGTGTCAGATGCTTCTAGACCCATAGCAGAGCGTATTATTCTTATTCCTAGAGAGCGACGATGTTCCACGTTTAGTGGAAGGGGAGATGAGGATGTGTTTGAGTGGATAGAGGAGATGAAGAGTAATTTACGGGCCAGAAATTTACCAGCAAGGGAAGAAGCCCTTTTTATCCTTGATCATCTGGGTGGGTCTGCTAGAAGTGAAATTAAATTTAGACCAAGGGTTGAGAGAGAGGATCCAGAAAAGGTGTTTTCAGTGTTAAGAGAGTTATATGGATGTGCATACTCTTATATCTCCCTCCAGGAGCAGTTTTTTTCTCGTAAACAGGAAGAAGGCGAGTCCTTGCAAGATTTTTCACATGCCCTGTTCGCTTTGATGGAGAAGGTTGTACAATGTGCTCCGGGTGGTGTCCCTAATTCTGCTATCTTACTTAGGGATCAATTTGTAGAACACGTTGTTGACAATAGTCTATGTCGTGAGCTTAAGCGTTATGTTCGGCTCCATCCACAGTCCACTATTCTGGATGTAAGGAAGGAGGCAATTAGGTGGGTTGATGAGGGATTTCGTCCTGATACGCGTGAACGAAGTCATTCTGTCCCCTCCCTTGCTACCCAGTATAGGGTTCAAGGACATGGTCCACCATCAAGCAGTCGAGGTAATTCAACAGAGATAGCTGAATTAAAGGAGATGTTAAAGGCCCAACAAGAGCAACTTAATCGGCTCACTCAAGGCCTGCAGCAGCTGCAGTCCCAGCATGCAGGTAATCCATCTAGGCGGGTGAACCCTATTATCTGCAGACGCTGTAACCAACCAGGGCATATTGCCCGGAATTGTATAGTGGATTTTCGTAGATCCACTGAACAGCCGAGGGTGGTGTCACAGCAGAGTAATGCAGTGGGTGCTAGTAGGCCGTCGGAAAACTTCAACCCCCTGAATTGTTGAGCCACACTTCAGGAGGGGTAGCCACTGGCTCACAGCCCTCTGAGTTGAAAGGGAAGCAAGCACTTTGTAAGTTAGTAGGTAATTGTCCTTCTGTCACTATTACTATGGGTGGGGTAGAGGTTCCATGTTTACTGGACACTGGGTCCATGGTGACAACTATTTCAGAGGGATTTTTTTTCCAACATTTTGAGCCTTGGGGCAAAGAGAAGTTACAACGCTGTGGATGGCTCCAGCTACGTGCTGCAAATGGTTTAGAAATACCTTATTTGGGTTACCTGGAGTTAGATTTTGTTGTTCTTGGGAAGAACATCCAGAATAAGGGGGTACTTGTGGTGAAAGACCTGCCCAATTCCTTACCAGGTGGGTTTCCTGGGCTGTTGGGCATGAATGTCATTCAGGAGTGTTTTAGGGAGTTGTTTAGTCAGCATGGTTCCAGTCTTTTTGATCTCCCTACTGTGCGGGAGGTTCCTGCATGGTATTCTGCTTTGCAGTATTGTAGGGAGACTGAAACTGACAATTGTGAGATTACAGAAAGATTGGCTAGGGTTGGGGGTCGAGAAGCAGTGCGAATCCCTGCTGATTCGTTGCGTTTTGTGCCTGTCACATTTTCCTTACCCATAGGCCCTTCACCTTTATTGCTTTTTGAGCCACTAGGGATGGAGAATTCACTTCCGGCTGGTCTACTGGCCTCTGTATCTTTAGTACCAATTGTTCGGGGTGTGGCTTTTGTACCCATAGTTAATGTGGGGGAACAGGATTCCCTGTTGCAGCCGCATGTAGTAGTAGGGACATTGTGTAAAGTTCAGACTGTTCCACAGCTAGATGTTATGACTCCACCAGAGGAACAGGCCCATCTTCAAGCAACAACTGCATTGCAAATGGTGAGAGGGGACACAGTGGAGGAGGCCATCCATACTTTGGATCTGCCTCAGCTGTCTTTGGATCAGCAGGCTCAGGTTAAATCTCTGCTGAGTAAATATAGATCTGTTTTTTCAGCTCATGAGGGTGATTTGGGTTGTACTGAGCTCATAACTCATCAGATTCCTTTGCTTGATAGTGAGCCAATACGGCAGAGATATCGACGCTTGCCCCCTTCTGATTATGAGGCAGTTAAGGAGCATATTCACCAGTTGTTGCAGAATCAGGTGATTAGAGAGAGCTCTAGCCCGTATGCCTCTCCAATTGTGATTGTGCGGAAAAAAGATGGGCAGATTCGTCTTTGTGTTGACTATAGGCAGTTGAATGGTAAGACGCGGAAGGATGCTTTCCCTCTGCCACGAATTGAAGAATCACTGGATGCCCTGAGTGGAGCCCAATGGTTTTCCACATTGGATCTTGCCAGTGGCTATAATCAAGTACCAGTGGCAGAGGGAGATAAGTGTAAGACCGCTTTTTGCACGCCCTTTGGGCTATTTGAATTTAATCGAATGCCCTTTGGGTTGTGCAATGCCCCTAGTACCTTTCAACGCCTTATGGAGCGCATGTTTGGGGACCAAAGGTTCCAGACTTTGTTACTCTATTTAGACGACATCATAATTTTTTCGTCCACTATTGCACAACACTTGGAGAGGCTGGAAATGGTTTTTGTTCGACTGCAGCGAGAGGGTCTTAAGGCCAAACTAGAGAAATGTTGCTTTTTCCAACAAAAAGTAAGTTACTTGGGGCATGTAGTGTCTAAGGAGGGGGTATCAACTGACCCAGCCAAGATTAGTGTGGTGGCAGAGTGGAAGCGTCCAACTAATGTGACTGAGTTGAGGTCCTTTTTAGGCTTTACAAGTTATTACAGACGCTTTGTAGAGGGATTTGCACGGTTAGCAGCCCCGTTACATCGCCTTGTTGCAGATTTGGTGGGGACAAAGAAGAAGAGGGGTTCAGGAAAGTCAATTGAAAGTT